TCTGGGCTGGATTCGTACCCGCCACCTTAGGTGTATGTGGCTGGCGCCTTAGCCAGTTGAGCCACAGGCGCCAAGCCCAGAGGGATATTTCTAAAACCAATTTGTTTCACTAGACCAGGCATTCTCAAACTATGGCCCACGGGCCACATGTGACCTGCCAAGGACATTTACCTGGCCCGCCGGGAGTTTTTGCCGCTGCTGCCTGTTCTGCTTAGCAGCCAGCTCATCCCGGGGCCTGCAGTCTGGTCCTCCAACGGTCTGAGGGACAGTGAACTGGCCCCCTGTTTAAAAAGTTTGAGGACCCCTGCACTAGACTGTACCCAAGTACACTGAAGAAAATGGAATATCTATTGAAGGAAGTTTGGAGAATAAAGCTGCTATTTTAAATTTATGCTTTATCTGTGGATGACAGCACTGATGTTACAAATACAGCTCAACTTGCCTTTTTTGGGGTGGGGGCAGAGTCTCACTTTCTTGTGCCCATAGAGTACTGCCACATCATAGCTCACAGCAACCTCAAATTCTTGGGCTCAAGTGATTCTCTTCCCTCAGCCTCCCAAGTAGTGAAGACTACAGGTGCCTGCCACACCAGGCTAGTTTTTAGAGAGGGGGGTCTTGCTCTTGCTCAGGTCAACTTGCCACTTTTTTTTTTTTTTTTTTTTGCAGTTTTTGGCCAGGGCTGGGTTTAAACCCACTACCTCCGGCATATGGGGCCAGTGCCCCACTCCTTTGAGCCACAGGTGCTTCCCTCCCCTTTTCTTTTTCTGCAGATTTTTTTTGGCAGGGCTGGGTTTGAACCCGCCACCTCTGGTATATGGGGCCAGTGCCCTACTCCTTGAGCTACAGGCATCACCCCAGCTTGCCACTTCTATTAGAGGCACTGATAATGAATATATGGTTGCTGAAGAAATGACTTAGAAGAAATTTAGAAGACACAATTAGGCTCAGGGCCTATAGCTCAGCAGCTTAGAAATTAGAAGACATAATTTAGGCTCAGGGCCCATAGTTCAGTGGCCAGGGTTCCAGCCACATTCTCAGGAGTTGGCTGGTTCGAACCCAGCCTGGGCCTGCCAAACAACAAATGCCAACTACAACCAAAAAATAGCTGGGTGTTGTGGTGGGCACCTGTAGTCCCGGCTCCTTGGAAGCTGAGGCAAGAGAATCACTTGAGCCCAAGAATTTGAGGTTGCTGTAAGCTATGACGCCACAGCACTCTACGGGCACTCTACTGAGGGCAATATAGTGGGACTCTGTCTTTAAAAAAAAAAAAAGACATAATTTAAATTGAGAGATTTATATTAAGCAATAAAAAATCTGTTAAAGCAATTTTCTTTGTCCATTGTCAACATACCTGGTATAGGTACTGATGGTAGGTAAGAGAGAGGGGCTTATAAAATTAATGGAAGACGATTACAATTGCTACTTAAAACTCATGTTTGATAAAGTATTATTGCATAGTAATACATCAAGAAAACTGATGCCCAAGAGCTTTCAAAATGGATAACTTCATGTAAATTGTCATCAAGACTGAATTTCATGGCCAGGTAGTGGCTCACACCTGTAATCCTAGCACTCTGGGAGGCTGAGGCAGGTGGATCACTTGAGCTCAGGAGTTTGTGATCATCCTGAGCAAGAGTGAGACCTCATCTCTACTAAAAATAAAAAACTTGCCAAGTACTATGGTAGGTGCCTGAGGTTCCAGCTACTTGGGAGGCTAAGGCAGGAGGATCACTCGAACTCAGGAGTTTGAGGTTGCTATGAGCTATAAAGCCACAGGACTCTACCCAGGTACTCTACAGCAGTGGTTCTCAACCTTCCTAATGCCACAACTCTTTAATACAGTTCCTCATGTTGTGGT